TTAAATGTTTTGTGGATGACTGACTTAAATCTCTTTGAAAGTCTTCAGTTTTGTCTACCACCTTTCTTTTAATCAACATTTACTGAAACAATGTGACAATTTTACTACAATAGAAAACAGAGCTTGTTTTTGAATTGACAGTCTAATGTTTCCCCCACCGCCAAAGTAAAACTGTCGTTTTTTTTTTTTTTTTGTCTAGGGAACCACTGATTTAGAAAATGATCAGAAATGACTAGAGATCTCTGCCTCTACTCCTGGCAAATAATACCAATCTCCAACCACACACTAAGATCTATTCTAAATCTAAAGAGAGGCTATGTCTTCTAATAACCACCCACAAGTCTATCATATAAAATGTTCTTATGCATTAATTTTAAAGTATAAACCAAATACAAGCTCTTCTCCATCACTGGGGGCTGGAGTGATAGCACAGCGGTAAGGCGTTTGCCTTGCACGCAGCCAACATGGCCGACCCGAGTTCGATTCCTCCGCCCCTCTCGGAGAGCCCGGCAAGCTACCGAGAGTATCTCGCCCGCACGGAAGAGCTTGACAAGCTCCCCGTGACGTATTCGATATGCCAGACACAGTAACAACAAAGTCTCCAATGGAGACGTTACTGGGCCCGCTCGAGCAAATCGATGATCAACGGGAGGGCCTTTACCTTCACCTTTACCTCCATCACTGGTCAACCTCAGCATGTCCGATCTGCGTATCTTTTGAGCTTCCTGACATTAACTGAATCTCTTATTCCACAGGTATCTATACACTCTAAGTTTAAACTGATTCCTTAAATGCACAAATTTTTTTTTCTTTTTGGGTCACACCCAGCGACGCTCAGGGTTTACTCCTGGCTCTGCACTCAGAAATTACTCCTGGCGATGCTTGGGGGACCGTATGGGATGTTGGAAATTGAACCCAGGTCGGCTGCGTGCAAGGCAAACGCCCTACCCACTATACTATCACTCTGGCTCCATTTGCACAGATCTTTTACTGTCACAGTTTAGTTATCAGTAACAGGTGTACACATCAATTCATGGATATCATAACTAAGGTAAAACTAGAAAATAGTTTACCATGATCAGACGGTAAATGGAGACAAAATGTAGATTTCTTCTGGGTACACAACATTCATTTCATAGATATGCAGAAAAGGCTAGGCCTTATCTTAAACTTCTAGAACAGTATATTTCTCAACCGGGTCCAGATGGTCCCCGACAGTCCCTGTGGTCCACAAGGTTATTTCAAGGGGTCACAGATAATAATCATGTCAATGGGGAGGGGCTGGAGCGATAGCACCCCAGGGAGGGCAGCTGCCTTCCACACGGCCGACCCGGGTTCGATTCCTAGCGTCCCATATGGTCCCCTGAGCACCGCCAGGCGTGATCCCTGAGTGCATCGCCAGGTGTGACCCATAAAGCAACAACAACAAAAAAGACATGTCAATGGGGAGCCAGGGCAAACTACTACTTACTAGACCACCAACAGGAAAGCCACAGGAAGCAAACAAAATTTGAAGGGGACCACGGTCTGATCAAATAATGAACTCAGGTTTACTAATTTTTTCTAGATTTTCTATTATCTGTTTTTATGTTTCTGCTCTAATTCTTTATCCACTTGCATTTGGCTTAGTTTGTGCTTCATTTTCCATTGTCTTCAGATGAAAAACTAGGTGGAGGATATGATTGTTGGAAAGATGAGGTGTTGGAACATTCTATACTTGAAACCCTAGCATTAACAGTACTTCAATCAGTTGCCTCAAATGAGATGAGACTGATTGGTGACATTTCGTACTTCAGGCCGCTGTCCATTCCTTGAAACACATCCCCAGAGCATTGCTGTGGTGCATGGCATTATGCGTTGGTATATTCTTTCCATCCACATTTTCTATTTGGTACTTAACATATTACCTAGAAACTTGTTTAAATTTCACCTGTATTTCCCAAATTGCTTTTTTCTCGTGAAAAAATAATAGTTTTTAAAAACTTGTAATTATTTCCTGTGATTTCAATCTTTCTGAGGCCAAGCCCAGTGGTGCTCAGAGCTCACTTCTAGCTCTGTAGGTATTTCTGGATTGGCCAGAGCAAGGCAAGTGCTTTACATGCCATTTCTTTTTTTATACCCTAACATATGGCCTCATCCTAAAGCACTGCACTGCACTGTCCTCCCGTTGTTCATCGATTTGCTCGAGCGGGTCCAGTAATGTCTCCATTGTGAGACTTGTTGTTACTGTGTTTGGCGTATCGAATACGTCACGGGGAGCTTGCCAGGCTTTGCCATGTGTCCTAAAGATGAGGCCATCTATGTAATACTCTTATAAAGCACTGGCTACATATCGAATCCGTCCAGTCAACTTGAATTTATCCTTCCAACAGTATGAAGTCTGTGTTCAACAGATTTAAAATGAAGATTAGACACAGAAGTGTTATCTTCAGAGGCTAACCACAACTTACTGGAAATAGTACTTAAGATATTAGGTGCTAGTAATATCACAGTATATTTCTGTATGCAAGGCCTAGCAGTAAACAGAAGAGATTCCTTATGGAACTTTGCTCTTTTTGTCTTCTGCTACACAAAAGGAAAGGAGTAACTAAAGGAATAACCTTTAAAGTTAACCATGTGTCCCAGGATGCCAGTTGTTCAACTAATATTCCCAACTTTTAAAACAAACCTAATGAGCATCCTATCTATAACTCACTCACTAAGTGCTATCTCCCAGTATCAGATTGGGCCTTGAGCTACAGTTCTCCCAAGTGATTGTCAACCTTAGTTGCACATTATTTCACCGAGTGAACTTTTAAAAGCACCAGCAGCCCCTTAAAACCACGAGATTCTGACCTACGTAGGTATCCTCCTGTTTAAGAGATCCAAGGTTGATTCCATTTAAGAAAGGCTGAGAACCCAGTTCAGCTACTCCACTTTTCTCAGTTCAGGCAAAATAACTGAGGAGAAAGAGATTCCCTCAGTCTTTTTATGTAAACTTGTTACTCTCCTGTCTCATCCAAGATGTCTCTTCACCTACCTCAGAGGTTCAATCTGTTACTAGCACCCACTGCTCATAAGTTCTACATTTCTACTTCATTCTACTAGTTTCTACTTTACTTACTTTTTATGGTTTGCTCTCATTGGGACCAGTGATCTGCTGAATTCCACCTACTACCAATCTTCCAAAAATATTTAAAAGTTATGGCTTTACTGATACCATTTGTTTACAAGTGTTGCTATTTAATAGTTTTGCTTTTTAAAAGGCATTTAAGATACCTCTTTTATTATCATTTTAACAGAGAAACAGCAAGTAATTATTTTGTTTATATGCCTTTTCTTTATACATACCACATAACAACAAATGGAACCAAAACCCATTTTTCACTGTCATTAAAATGTCATTAAAATTGTCATTTCAGACTTCCTCTGAAATCCATTACCACACAGTCAATAACAACACTAGCTGAGTGTTGTAACAACCGCCACCATCCAAATAGGCATCAGGTGCCAATTGCACAAGACAAAAATAGTAACTGAAGGTGAGAGGTCAGCTTGGGTTCCCATCTTAGAGAGATGTTTAGGTCTAACTAATATTTGATACAAAGCTTATATAAATTCATGTTATTAATGTCAAAATTAAGGAAAATTTCATAAACAATCTCTACTACGTCCATCTAATAATTAGCCAATTATTCCAGCTTGGAAAAACTATTGGCATCATCCGAGTATCTGCCACAGTAAAATCCCTGTTCATCTTGGTTATATAACTATCCAAGACATGTTCTGACTGGTAACCAAGGATATGAAATCCCAAATAAGTAGAAGAATGGCAACAAAGCTTTGACAAATTCTAAATAAGCAAATAAAGATCTTTGTATTATTTAGTTATATTCATTGTTCAGTGAACAAAATGTCTTTAACTTTGGTTTAAAAAAGCATTTATTTAAATTAATAAAGTCTAAAAGATGGATATAACCAATTAAACTTTTCCCCCGTTTCCCCCCCCCTCAAAACTATGTACTCCTTTGTTTTCCCCGTATCTTAATGACAACTTACTGGAACGGAAAATGAAAACACTGGATGCATTTTTAAATAAAACAGGTTAAAAAAGAATAAATTCGAATATTTCTCAAATATCACATATATAAATCAGAAACCATTACACGTAAGGTGCTTCAAATGGCGCTACAATCATGAAAACGTTTATTTTATTTAAAATTCTTGCTTAGCACCAATTTCTACTGCGTTCCTTATGCAGTAAAATGCATTCTTAGTATTTCCTAACTGTAGCAGAAAGTGATTTAGAAAATGAATGTTCTAATATTTTTCATTAAATACAATCAACATATTATCAAAAATACTTTATTATGAACAATGTGAGAAACTGGTGATATTAGCTTTGTATGCTTTTTCTATCTGGTAAGTTTTACAATCTCAAAGTAAAAAAAAATGCTCATTTTCTAATTCTTCCCAAAGATTCATTAAAAAAATAGTTACTTTAAAATTTCAAAACACAGAGACTGTTCTTATTACATTTTCACATCTGTTTAAGAATTTGGTGCTGTACTATAGAGAAGGATGAAACAGCAGATATGAGGAGGGGAAATACTTATTACTGATCGAGAAATAACTACCAATTAACTTCATAAAAACTTCATACTGTTTTAGCACAACCTAGTGGTGATTAAATTTAGGTACAGCAAATTGTCGGGGGGGAATAAAATTTCCAGTTACTTTAAATTCACTTACAGCAATTATTTTAATTCAGAAATTCAAACACACATTCAGAGAAACTATTCTTAAGATAAGTCCTACTTTAAAAATGGGGTTTCTGCTCTCCGGTCGGCTTCTCGGCTCTCCGCCCCGCCTTCCCGCGGCGCTCCCGGGACCATGACCGATCCCCGCGTGAGGCAGATCAAGATCAAGACCGGCGTGGTGAAGCGATAGAGTATGTCCTTGCTATCTATCAAGAGGTGATAAAGTGGTGTTGAAATCTCCCACCAGTATTGTATTGCTTTTGATGTCTTCCTTCAAGACTCTTGGTCAAAGAAAAAGTGATGTATGAAAAAGAAGCCAAACAACAAGAAGAAAAGATAGAAAAGATGAAAGCAGAAGATGGTGAAAATTATGCCATTAAGAAACAGGCTGAGATCCTGCAAGAGTCCCTCATGATGATTCCAGACTGCCAGCGCAGGTTGGAAGCTGCACATACTGACCTTCTGCAGATACTAGAGAGTGAAAAAGACTTGGAAGAAGCCGAGGAATATAAAGAAGCACGATCAGTACTAGATTCAGTGAAATTAGAAGCATGAAGACTTTCTGTACAGGATGTTTTTGTGATTTTATCCTAGAATCCATTCCATAATTCGTTATTTTGACCACTGCTCTGTGTTCAAGTAGGATGAGAATCTAATTATCGATATTTCTGACAGAAGTAAAATCTATTTGAAATTTAGATACTTTGCCTCATAACTGGATTGAGTTAAAAACAGGATTTTTTTTTAAGTAAAACCAAAACTTTGATTAGCTTCTGAATAAAGTGCAACTTCCTAAAGTTAAAAAAAAAAAATGGGGTTTCTTTGGGAAAAAAAAGAAAAGTAATTAGCTAAAAGCAATACCAAAATTACATGATTACATTAGGCTGAATTGGCACATAGTATTTTTGATGCAAACAGCAAAAAGAATCATCGCACAACCCGCTATCATTAAACTGTTTCAAAACTGATATACTCCAGTGAATAAAAGTGTAACAAAACCTTTATGATCTAACTGCTCAGAACAGTACAATCACTGCTTTGTTTAATTTCCTCAGCAACTTTCCCCTTTTATCTCCTACAGCAATTCCTCTGTTGGCTTAACTTAACAAAGTCCAAAGTCTAGATAGTAATAAAGCTCGATGAGCAGCCACTGGTTACTGATGAGGTTCTTATTCTTTAGGAAACTTGTGCCCATTACTAAACTGGATGACATTTGGTGTATGGTGTATATTCTTCAACATATCAAAAAAAAACACCTCCTTTTTAGACAAGTAGAATACAATAATTTTGCTCCCGTTCCTTTCGTCGTTGCACTGTTTTCCATATTAAGTTGCAATAATTTGAAAACTTAGCAAACAAACAAACAAATAAAAGAACTTTCCAATACACCTGGTAAGATACGATTCAAATGTGTACAGCCGTTAAGTGATAAGGGATCTGAAGAGAACAATCACAAAGATGTTTTATACTCCACGTGCCCGTCAGGTGCTTACATCTACCTCAGCCATTCTCTAATGTTCATGACAAATACTTGTGCTCACTGAGCACAAGCAACTCAAGTGAAAACTTTCTCCATTCTCTTTAGGACAGAACATCACCAGTACATTCTATGTCACCGAGAATTAGGACTTCATTCTCTCTTGGAAACCCAACGAAGAAAAGCTGTGATAGATACTGTAACTTCTTTCTCCTCAACCTCTCTGCCCCTTAATACTCTAATCTCAGATCCATGGAACTAATTTCACTAATTGCAGGCTTTGTCCCGCATTTATAACCCCAGGAGAAAGCTATTTCTCAATGCTCAGTTCACTCTCTCTACATATATGGGTGGACATAGAGAAACATATAAACTCTTATACTTCCTTTAATGCTTCAGTTTTCTCTTCCGCTCCTGTCAACTTTAGTAGTACGTAACAATTATGTCTTTTTGTTTTCATGACTGTATTTTCTATCCATGAAGAACAAAAATTTTAACGATTTTCTGAAGATGTAGAATCTATCATTTTAAAATATTTTGCATAATATAGATTACATACAATGTTGAGCTACCTTATTCCTGTGGACTGATGAAAGAATTATTTTGCTCAAAAAGATACTGAGAGTTTTTAAAACCTTTACTTTTTTTTTTCCTTTTTGGGTCACACCAGCAATGCTCAGGGCTTACTCCTGGCTTTGCACTCAGGAATTACTCCTGGCAGTGCTCAGGGGACCATATGGGATGCCAGGGATCGAACCCAGGTCGGCCATGTACAAGGCAAAAGCCCTACCCGCTGTGCTATTGCTCCAGCCCCTACTTAACTCTCTTGAGAGAATTTTTAAATTTTTGTTTTGGGGTCACACCTGGCAGTGCCCAGAGGGTTTTCCCGGCTCTAAGCTCAGGAACCACTCAGAGCTCAGGAACCACTCAGGGGATCATCTGGGATGCCTGGGATCAAACCAGGTTAATGGTGCACCAGAAAGTGCCCTACCTGCTGCAAGATATCTCTGGAACCTTTTAAGGGAATTTTTAAACTTTTAAAAGATTGGTAAAGTTCTGGATATGTGCTACTGGAAAACTCAATGTTTACTTTATCAAGTGACAGCAAATACAAAAATCCCAATTCCATACTTTCTGGATTTGTTTTTTAAATCATATGACGTAATTTGAAACTAAAAATTACTTTCCTTGCTAACACCGTAAGGCTAAGAGCTTGGTGATTTAACCTCTTTCCTCTTAAGACAAATATTCTTAAACAAAAATCCGTGAAAACATAAAACAAACAAAACCACACAACAATTCATCAACTACAACATCAATGTGTTGAACACTAGTCATACTATACCGTAGAACAGGGGCTGGTAAATTTTATAAAGGGTCAGAGAGGAAATAATTTAAGATTTCGTAATCTACCGTCTCTGTAGTAACTATTCAACTCTGTCAAAGTAGCACGAAAATAGCCATAAACAATGTGTGGCAGTGTTCCAAAAACCTCTATTTATGGAGACTGAATTTCCTATTAATTTTCAGTGTCTTGAAAAACTGTTTCCAACCATTTAAAATTGAAAACACAACTGTTAGCTCACTGGTCCTGAAAAGAAAACACTGAGGACCACAGACCAAAGTTGGCTGCGCCGTATGTACAGGTTTTTAAATGCTATACAAAATTCTTTAAAATTATAGGTTCTAAATCTAGACTGGAGACCTATTTTTCAGATCTCTCATTTTAAAATTTAAACCCGACAAACTCTCTACTTTCTGGATAAATACACTCACAAGAAAGAAGAAAATATTTCAGAATATAAATCCCCACTTAATAAAGGAAGAAAAAAATGGGAAAAGTTATGAGTCTTTCATCTTATAATCTGGAAATATTTAAAAATTTTATTCTATGCAATGCAAAACAGTATGCATAGATTTAGTACATAATTTCTTAATTTTTACTCTAGGAAAAAAGACATTGAGGAAAAGGTTTTTAAATCTCTCTATTCCATTTATAAAATACTGCAGTCTAATTCCTTGCCATATACAAGCATCAGCTCTGAATATAGTATAAGTCATACCTCTGAACTGGAATTGACCTAGATGAGCTTGGGGAAGTCTCAAAAAATGCATAATTATACCATACAATACTATGATTTCTATACTTTGGAACATCTGAATAGGAAATTCCTGTCTCCATAATATAAGGAAACAAGAATATTTTTCCATAGTTATCAAGTATAAAAAAAAGTTCACAGCTTTATTTACCTTTATCAAAGGTAAAATGATTCACTGAACATTCCAGGGATTATTTTGACCTTTAGTAGTTCCTAAACATAAATTTCATGTGAAATTTTACCTGTTTGGGATTTCCAAAGCAAGAAACTAATACAAAATGTATTCAACTCTCAGAAGTCCATGGACTGAAAAAAAAAATTAAAAGAATTAAATATAATTGTTTGACAACTTTATCCTTTCTAGTTTTACAACAGCTTCGACTTTGAGGCCTAATTAGTCTCTTGTGTCTATCCATTAAAAACCTAATTCGATCTTCTATTTTAATAACTCTCAATGTCTTCTTTTGCTGAGGACTTTGTTTTGCGACGGAGAAGATCAGTTCGTCCAGCTTCAACCATTTGTTCTTCCCAAGCTTTAATTTCATTATAATAACGAACTTTATCATCTTCAGCACGTTGGATATATACCTGCGGAAAAGGAGTAATTGCCAAAATTAATTCCTCAAAAGAGTTTCTGGACTGTGTCCATAAATACTCTAGAAATTAACCTTACTAATCTACGCACTTTTATAAAGAAACAAGAAGGAATTTTCTGAGATAAACACTAGATGAGGGTGAGGGCAATACAACTGCAATGAGGTTATCATCTCACACCAGAGACTGGCACACACCAAGAACAAGAAGAACGGGGCTGGAGCCATAGTACTGTGCGTATGGCATTTGCCTTTCAGGGGCCGACCTGAGTTTGAACTCTCAACATCCAGCATGGTCCCCGGAGCACTGCCAGGAGCCATCGCTTAGGGCAGAGAAGGAGTAACCCCTGAGCATAATAGCTGGGTGAAACCCCAAGAGTTAAAAGCCAAAAAAAAAAAAAAAAAAAGGAAGAGAAAAGAATAATGGCTGGCATGAATGCAGGGAGAAAGGAACTCTGATTCATTGCTGGTGGAAATGTTGATCGGTCCAACCTTTTGGGAAAACAATATGGACATTGCTCAAAAAAACTAGAAACTGAGGTTCCATCAACGGCCAAGACTCAGAGACTATAACATCCAGCTCCCGGACGAGACCAGTGCAGTCAGTCTCCTGCCCCTGCGCCTGGCTGTTCCTCGCTGGGTTCCCTTGGAGGGGAGTGGGTTGAGCTTTCCTCCCCGCCCTGACCAGGGCTCCGGCAGCCGAAGACCTCCAGGACCAGCCACCACCATGCTGAGACCACTCTCCGCACACATGAAGGTACTGGCAGAGGGACAAAGCCACGCGGGTTCCAGGGCCGAGATCTCCAAGCCTACTCGAATTGGAGTCGAGCATCCTCCACCCAGATCCTCCAAATTCCAGTAGGTGGGGGTCACACCCACCACCTGGCCCCCTGGCGCCATGTAATCCCATCAACGGCCAAGACTCAGAGACTATAACATCCAGCACCCGGAACCGCGCGGCCGCATTTGCGGCTGCGCGACATCCTATCAGGACATCTTTTTATGATATCTTATTATCTCATTCCTACTCTGGACAAACTTGCAGGCTATCGAATATAGCCTGCCCACAGGGCAGAGTCTGGCAAACTCCCCGTGGCGCACCAAATATGCCAAATACCAGTAACAATGATGGGTCTCATTCTCCTAAAAGAGCCTTGAATATAATCTCAGGGCTAGGATGAAAGAGACGTTACTGGGGCCTGCTCGAGGCAATCGACGAATAACAGGATGATGAATGAATGAATGAATGAGGTTCCATGACCCAACAATACCACTCCTGGGAATATATCCTAGGGAACCAAAAACACAATGCAGAAAGTCATTTGCACTAGTATGTTTATTACAGCACTTTTCACGATAACCAGAAACTGGAAACAATCCCAGTATCTGAGAATAGGTGAGTGGATCAAGAAACTGGGGTACATTTACTACACAATGGAATACCACGCAAACATGAAATTTTCTGATACTTGGATGAACCTGGAGAGTATCATGCAGGATGAAATGAGTCAGAGGGAGAGGGACAGACATACAATGATTGACTCATTTGCGGGATTAAAAAAGGGGTGGGGATAGAATTATGTCAAAAGAGAGTAGAAATGAGGGCCAGGAGGACTGGTCCATGGTGGAAAGCCATAACGGGGGTGAGGGCGGCAAGTGCAGAGTACGGTCAGGACAGAGAAGAGACCCCGAAGACAATGACCGTTGAAAATGATCATTCTGGACAAGAAATGGGTGCTAGAAGGATATAAAATGATACACTGGATAACCTTTCAGTAACAGTATTGCAAACCACGATGCCTAAAAGAAAGGAGGGGGCATGGTGCCGCCAGCTGGTCGACCTGCACCCGTGGGGTGAATGCATCAGCAGCTTGATGGTGCCTTCGGCCGGACCCCGTAACTTGGGGCCAAGTTTACCAAGAAATCAAACAGCCTAAAGTTAGGGATGTGGGAGCCACGCTCACAAACCACCCCCGCAGCTCAGCTACAGAAGCTCATTTATAGGCCTTATTTCAGAGACTCAATCTCAAGAGATCCAAAGCCCCAGTTAATCTCAGATCAGACTGGGGTAAATCGGGGGGGGGGCAGGTTCGTCTGGTGCCCACGCAAGCAGAGCCCCCAGCAGCCGCTTGCTTCCACGATCCAAAACCGTTGCCATATCCCCAGTCTGGCTCTACCATCTCAGGACAGACCTCACCAAGTTAAAATACTGAATATTCGGGGATGCAGGTTTTGTGACTGAAATCTCCAGGCTTTCTTGGGGCTGGGATGGGCTACCTCCCCCCACCTCCCTGTCCTTCAAGAAGCCTCGGCAGTCACTTCCCCATCTCAACGTGGCCACCCAATGAAAAGCTCCTCCAGCCTTACCATCCTGATAAAAATACTGAATGCCCCGAACAAACACCATGACGTCCTGGCACCTGAATAGCAAACCATAATGCTCAAAAGGGAAAGGACAAAGAAAGAAGGAACGTTCTTCCCATAAAGGGAGGCTGGGGATGGTGGTAGGGAAAAGGGAACATTGGTGATGGGGCATGGAGGGATGGGTGCTCAATCACTGTATGACCGAAACCCAACTGTGAACAGTTTTGTGATGGTCTATCTCATGGATATGCAATTAAAATTTTTAATTAAAAAAAAAAGGTAGGGGGCCGGAGCGATAGCACAGCGGGTAGGGCATTTGCCTTGCACGCGGCTGACCTTGGTTCTATCCCTGGCGTCCCTCAGGGTACCCTAAGCACCACCAGGAGTAATTCCTGAGTGCAGAGCCAGGAGTAAGCCCTGAACATTGCTGGGTGTGCCCCCCCCCCAAAAAAAGTATTGTGGAGTTCATGCCCAATTCAATCAGCATAATCAATGGCTGAATAAAAAGCAGTATCCTACATTTAAAAAAAAATAAAGGAAGAAAGGAAAGAGGGAGAGGGAGGGAAGGAGAGGGAGAGTTGAGAGGAAGGGAGAGAGGAGGAGAGAGAGAGAGACAAGAAAGAAAAGTCTGCCACAGAGGCAGGCTAGGGGGAAGGAGGGCTAATGTACCCTGGGAAGGGATGAGTGTTGGAACACTGCACTGAAACCCAATTATGATCAACTCTCTGACTGTGTATCTCACAATGATGCACTAGAACGAGGGTTGGGGTGGGGAAGATGCACTCGCTTTGCTTGTGGTCGACCCCAGTTCTATTTCTAGCACCACATGATTTCTAGAGCACCACCAGGAGCGGTCCCCAAATCAAAGATATTTAAAATAAGATTCAAAAGTAAAGAAGCCACATTACTTACTTGTTTTTGAGAGCTAGAAAGGTTTTTCCAGTTTTCATTTACAGCTTTCAGCTTGTTCTATAAAACCAAGTTTATGAATTCAATTAAATTGGGGAAGTTAGTAATTATTTATTATTCTAACAAAAATTTAAATATCAAGAATCATAGGCAGTCTCGTTAATTCTTACTATCTTTCTGTATAAAAAACTTAATTAGAAACGTACTGAGTCAGTAAAATAGTACAGAGGGCAGGGCACTAGCCTTGCACGTAGCTAACCCAGGTGAGACCCCTGGCACCCCACAAGGCCCCCTGAACTCCACTGGATGTAGACACAAAACAATACAAAAATATTTTTATCCTTTAAAATGAGATACTTTCAACACATTATGCCCATTTCTGATGTATAACAAAATTAAGTATTTGTACTGTGAAATGATCACAATAAGTCCAGTTAACATTCATTATTCATAATAGCACTGTAGCATTGTCCTCCCATCGTTCATGGATTTGCTCGAGCCGGCACCAGTAACGACTCCATTGTGAAACTTGCTACTGTTTTTGGCATATCGAATACATCACAGTTAGCTTGCCAGGCTTTGCTGTGCAGATGCGATACTCTCAGTAGCTTGCCAGGATCTCCGACAGGGGCGGAGAGATCGAACCCTGATTGGCTGCATGCAAGGTAAGTGCCCTACCTGCCATTGCTCCAGCCCTTCCTCATAATAATTAAATTATTTTTCTTGTAATAAGCACCTTTTACTCTTTCCTCTGAGCAACTTTCTAATATAATTACCATGCTATACATTACATTCTTGGACTTAGAAACGAAAACCTGTTTCTTTGACTATTTTTAATTGTTTCTTAAACTCTACCACTAACCTCTAAGCATATTTCTTTAGGTCATCTTTGTGAAATTTTACAGTATATCCTATTTCATTTAGCACAATGTTCTCAAGATCCATCTATGTTGTCCTATGAGGCAATTATTTCCTTCCTTTTTTATGAACAACTAATAGTCCATTATAACCTCTCTCCCTCTCTCTATATATATACATATATATTTTGCTTTTTGGGGTCACACCCAGAGATGCTCAGAGGTTACTCCTGGATTTGCACTCAGGAATCACTCCTGGCGGTGCTGGGGGACCAAATGGGATGCTGGGAACGAACTCAGGCCAGCTGCGTGCAAGGCAAACACTGTCGCTCCGGCCCCCCTGCACTCTCTTTTCTGGTGGAAATCTTGAATCGCGGACTAGCTGGTCGCCCAGAACTGGTCTGCCCCTCCTTCAGCCAAGCCCCAGTCCCGAGTTTGTTCCTGCTTGTCCTTGTAGAAAAAGGTCTCTCTCTACGCAGGGGGGGAGTGGGCTGTATTGATTTTACCTGCCCAGAACACCTGGAAGCTGGCCCCTCCTCTTTCATTCTCCCCTCACCCACGCAGTCCCAGGACGAGCCTCTCCGTGAGAGTCACCTTCCAACTGCTTCTTCCTCCACTTCCACACTTTCCATGAGTCCACCCACACGCAACAGGCCTCTCTTTTAAAAACCAGAACAGTTCTTTCCTAGGCCCTTCCTTCCATCGCTGTTCCTGCACGTGGGGGGTTGTGTGCCTGAGACCACACACTGCTCTTGCCCCTTAAATCCTGAACTGCAGAGCTGCTGGATCATACCTGGCAGCGTTGGGAATAGAACTCGCTAATTTGTAAGCAGGCACTCCACAGCTGAGCTATCCTGAGTCCCAATTTATTTTCCCTTGCTGGGTGGGGTTCCAGACCGTGAGGCACCGTTATCCCATTTGGCAGTACTGTTCAGGGTCTAACAGGGATCCAACCCAAGTTCCACCGCATTGATGTGAGCTGTTTCTGGTGCCTGGCGGCAGGGAATGCATGATTTTGGGTAACGGAAGGGAATGCATGATTTGGGGTAACACGAAGAAGACACTCCCCATCTGTAACTGATCGGTATCTAGAAGTTGCAAGGATACTCAGCACCAAGCTGTGCATGGCCGGACCTGCATTCAAACTTTATATAACTAGAAGCTTGCAATTCAGACCATTCTGTACCTGGGCCCTTTCACTCCACATTTTGTTAATTAAATCAGGCTATTGCTTACAGTCATAGTTTGTTTATCCTCATTTTGGGGAAGTAGTCCATTGTAAGAAGTCAACACAATGTATTTACCCAGTCTCTTGGGGAATACTTGAGTGGTATCCGGTTTTTAGCTCTTGAGATTAAAACCAACTGGTTGCAGTAGGCAACATTTAGAAATAAAACAAGGCCTTAAGCTTATACCAGGAGCCCAGAGAGATGACACAGCAGGTGAGGCCTTGCCTTGCATGTGGCTGACCCAGGGTCCATCCACATAGTCTCGCCCCCCATTTGGTCTGAAACCTGCCAGGAGTGATCCCTGAGCGCTGAGTCAGGAGAAAGCCCAGAGCAAAGGTGGGTGTGGCCCCCAAACAAAATGCAATAAATATACAATTTTTAATTATATATAAATTTTCCATACTCTCTCTCTGTGCTGGAGCGATAGCACAGCAGGTAGGGCATTTGCCTTGCACACTGCCGACCTGGGTTCAATTCCTCCATCCCTCTCGGAGAGCTCAGCAAGCTACCCAGAGTATCATGCCCACACAGCAGAACCTGGCAAGCTCCCAGTAGCGTATTCGATATGACAAAAACAGTAACAAAAAGTCTCACAACGGAGACGTTACTGGTGCCCACTCGAGCAAATTGACGAACAATGGGAGCACAGAGCAGTGCTACAGTGCTGTAACCTGCTATGTCAACATTTAGATCAATAATCAACTCCAATGACAGTGGTGACTATATAGAGCCCAAGCGCACCATCGGTGATAGCAGTGATTTCCAACCTTTTTACAGCTATCTACAGACCAATGGTTGAAAAACACAGAGTTATACCACACGGGGTGGAAAAAGCAATCTGGGATGTCCCTACAATGATCAATAGGCTAACAACACATTTCTCATAATGTTTACCTGGTAACTACACATACTCATGGTTTCTACATTTCTCTATCCCTCAACTCACCAATGGGCACTTAAGATTGCACACGTGTCATGACTATTATGAATAATACAAAAATATAAGCACATGGGTGCATGTTCTCCTGTCAAGTTACTGTTTTTCCTTTCCTTCAGATAAATATCTAGAAGTGGAACTATTGAATCATATATTTTCATTTGTTTTGAGTTTCAGGACACACCTGGCAATGCTCAGGGGTTAATCCTGGCTCTGTCCTTAAGACCTCAAGACACCTCTTTTTGTTTTGTGGCAGCAACTGATAATGTTTGGTGGTTACTTCTGGCTCTGCACCCAGTAATTACACCTGGCAGCACTCAAGAGCCCGTGTGGGATGCAAGGAATCAAATCTAGGTCAGTCAAGTGCAAGACAAGCACTCTCCTCGCTGTACTCTCTCTCCAGACCCTGAACTGGACGTTTTCTGAGGAACCTTTACATATCTCCATAGTATGCTGTGAAATTTATACTTCCACCAACAGTCCACAGGTTTAATTTTCTTTGTATCCTTACCAACACTTGTTATAATTATGTACAGAGGAGGCAGGGTGGGGTGGAGGGCCACACTCTGCAATCTGCTCAGGAGTAACACCTGGTGATTCTTGGGGACCATACATATGTAGTGCCAGGGACTGAACCAGGGTTACACATACAAGAACCTTAAGTCCTGTATGAGCTCTTTGACAGAACACTTTTTATTATCTTTTAATAACTGTTGTTCTATGTCAGTATTTTTGACTTGATTTTCGTTGAATGTTGTATACCTTTTAATATGGGCTGGAGCGATAGCACAGTGGTAGGGTGTTTGCCTACGTGCAGCCAGACCAGCCAAGCTGGGTTTGATTCTTCCGCCCCTCTTGGAGAGCCCGGCAAGCTACCCAGAGTATCTCGCCCGCACAGCAAAGCCTGGCAAGCTCCCCGTGACGTATTCGATACGCCAAACACAGTAACAACAAATCCCACAATGGAGATGTTACTGGGCCCACTCGAGCAAATCAATGAGCAACGGGAGGACAGTGAGAGTGACCTTTTAATGTACCTTCTCATACATTTTTAAGTCTTTTTTGGGAAAACTTTAGTTTTGAAACTTTAAAAAACTAAAACTAAAAATTTTAGTTTTAAAGTTCTCTTTCCTGGCTGGAAAGAATGTAGAGATCCTGCATACAGTGGACTCAGGTTTGATCCATGGCATTGTATATGGTCCCCCAAGGCTCACCAGGAATGAGCACAGCGTCAGGAGTAAGCCCTGATTACCACCAGCTGTGACCCAAAACAATGAAAAAATAACAAAAGAAATAGGAGTTTATTTTCATACAGTACTTATTTAGAGCAACTTACTACTTTTCTTCACCTCCTGAGAGGGCACCCCTAAAATGCCGTTTCTAAATATTTTAACAATCAAAAATCTTTTTTTTTTTTACCTGTGATGAACTATCCTTAGTTTCTTGAAACCTTTCAGCCATAAAAATGTTGTAAGCTGAACGAGGTCTTTTTGGTTTTCCAAGCAGTGTCAACTCCTGTGCAAGGAAAAAAGAAAAGAGTTGTAGCTTCAACCGGAGATTTATGTTTACCTTTGAAAAGTTGTTCATGATTATGGATTATAGAATATACTTTAGAGTAAATACTATGATTCTTGTAATATAAAGTATTGAAGTCAGAATCTTCCCTAATATTAGAATTTTTATACAGCATTATTTTGAAAATTATAAGTCTGAGTAATTTTCTAAACAAAAGCATTTCCTTCACACAACATTTTCATGATCTCCATTGAGCACATATGTACAAACAGCACATGTGTACAAAATATTCATGAAAAGATAAAAAGACTTCGATTTCTCATCCTTACAGAATACTGGAGCCATAGCACAGCAGGTAGTGTTTGCCCTGCACGCAGCTGACCCGGGTTCGACCCCTCTGTCCCTCTCGGAGAGCCCGGCAAGCTACCGAGAGTATCCCGCCTGCAAGGCACAGCCTCCCCGTGGAGTATTCATTATGTCAAAACACAGGAACAAGTCTCACAATGGAGACGTTACTGGTGCCCACTCGAGCAAATCAATGAACAACGGGAGGACAGGGCTACAGACTACTACTGGGGCTGGAGAGAGAGCGTATGCCCCTCGTGCGGCCAACCTGGGTTCAGTCCCCAGCACCACACATGACTCCTGTGGCCCTGCAAGGAGCTCCCTGCGCCCAGACCCAGGAGAAAGTCTGTACTGCTGCAACAAAAAAACAAAAGCAAAAACAAAATACTGTCATTTCCTTGGCTAAATTTCTAGATGCCACAACTCATGAACTCTAGAATATCCACTTAATAACTTCTCATTTCATTTCTTCCTCTGCATATTTCTCAACCCTGACATCTCAACAGATGTGCTAGGTTTTACTAAGTAGTCAAAGGACAGCAGCCTTAGTGACCATCCTCAAGCTCTTGGAAAATATCGAGGAAACAGAACTCCCACCCAGGAACTTCTATGAAGCCAGCAGCACCTAAAAATAAACGAGGGTCCAGAGTGATACTAGAGTGGGTAGAGTCCCTGTCTTGCATGCGTCTGACCCAGGTTTGATCCCCGGCCCCCAAACTTTCTGAGTCCTTATAGAGTGATCTCTGGGAACAGAGCCAGGAGTAAGCCCTGTGAACCACTGAGTGTAGCCTGAAAACAAAAACCACCACCATAAAAAGGAAAAGAAAAGCATAGGCCAATATCCTTGATAAACACTGATGCAAAGATCCACAACAAACTTAGCAATCTGTCAAAAGAATGATACACCAGGATCAACTGAGATTCATTCTAGGGATACAAAGATGCCTCAATATGTGCAAATCAATTAATGTAATAGATCATATCATCAAAAAAGAAAAATAAAGATGGCTGTATCAATTAATGCAGAGGAGGTTTTGACAAGATTCAACATCCATTCATGAATTAAAAAAAAGGGAAAAAAAAATCCGCCCCCAAAACAAGGATAGAAGGAATATACCAAAATGGTCACGGCCATGTACAACAAACCCACAGCCAATACCATACTCAAATGGTGAACAACTGAAAGCCTTTTCTGAGATGAAGAACAAGGCAAGGATGGACACTGTCACCACTCTTATTCAACCTAGTTTTGGAAGTCCTTGCCACAGCCATCAGACAAGAAAAACAAGTCAAAGGGATCCAAAATGGACAGGAAGGCAAACTACCACTTTTTGCAGATAACATGATAAAAGACATTGAAAACCCTAAAGACTCCACAAAAACTATTAGCAACAATACAGTAAGTAAGCAGGCTATAGAATCAATACATAAACATGGTAGTTTTGAATGCAAATAATAAACTAGGAAAAAAAAAGAAATTAAAAGGATAATCCCTTTCCAAGTGTCCAAAATACATCCAATACCGTAATTAACGTAACAAAAGAGAATAAAAACATACAGTAAAAAAATATATAAATCACTGTTTAAAAAAAGTAAAAGAGGGCATCAGAAAACAGGAAGATATTCCCTATTCATAGGGTAGGAGAATCAACACTGTCAAAATGACTTTCCGACCCAAGGCATTACACAGATTCAATATAGTACCCACTAGTTTCCAAGGATGTTCTTCAAAGACTTGGAACAAATTTTACTAAATTTGTTCTAAACCATTAAAACTCCCAAAAAGCCAAAGCAATTCTTAAAAGGGGGGGGAGGGGAGAAAGGGGGACAGGGAGATTCTCCACAATGTTTGTATTTCCAAACTTTGAATTGTACTACAAAGCTGTAATAATAAAAGGTAAAGGACCTCCCATTGTTCATCGATTTGCTCGAGCGGGCCCAGTAACATCTCCATTGGAGACTTTGTTGTTACTGTGTCTGGCATATCGAATACGTCACGGGGAGCTTGCCAGGCTCTGCCGTGTGGGCGAGATACTCTCCGTAGCTTGCCGGGCTCTCCGAGAGGGGCGGAGGAATCGAACTTGGGTCGGCCATGTTGGCTGCGTGCAAGGCAAACGCCCTACCGCTGCGCTATCGCTCCAGCCCCTGTTGTAATAATAATGAAAAAAAAACTGCATAAACTCTCAGGTTTATGAACAGTGAATCTACTCAGGTTTATGAACAGTGAATCTATACCAGTGGAGCTAAATACACGAAATAGAGCAAAGAAATAAATGATGCAGGGAAAGCTGGAAAGACAGCTGTAAAAAGAAATGGAACTGCATTTCACACCATTTACAAAAGTAAATTCAAAGTGGTTTAAAGACTTTAAAATTAGACTAGAACCTAAAAATTAAACTAAAGAAAACATTAGTAGATGCCTGCATGAAACTGACCTCAGAGGTGTTTTCAAAACCAAAAACACAACAAGTATGAACAAGAAACAACAAGTATAAATTAAAAAAGGCTGAAACAATTAACAGCTCTCTCTTGGATCTGGAACAAACCACTGCTCAGAGAATGGCAAAGACTGGTGAAGAGAGGGAGTTGAGTTTGACTGCAGCAATGGCTCAGAAGCAGAAACCACTGAGAACCAGGGCAATTAATATCCGAACTGTTATTAATGAATCGTGGGTAATGTCAGAACAAGTCTGAGAGTAAAAGCCCAGCAAGTACACATCCATAAAAAGATTTATATCCAAGAGCTCAACCAGATTCCCACAATACATATCACAAAAATCCCTTTCAGTTTCAAACAAGAGGAAAGAGAAACATTTCTGAAACACCTGAATATTTAGATATTCTTGGCTGCCCTCAAGGGAAACTAGTAGTTAAACAGAATTGAGTGAGCCTCGAGACTCCAAACAAAGGGAAATTCCAAACTACAGTCCCTCTAGTTATCCCATCCTGGTCCTGGTCCCAACCAGGAGACTAGAGAGTAGAAAAACGGAGAAACACGTAAGTTCAAAGTCCAGAGACACAGATTCAGAAAAAGTCTAAAACCTGGGGCTGGAGCGATAGCACAGGGGGAAGAGCGTTTGCCTTGCACGTGGCCGACCCAGGTTCGATTCCCAGCATCCCATATGGTCCCCTGTCCTGAGTGCAGAGCCAAGAGTAACCCCTGTGTATCGCCGGGTGTGACCCAAAAAAGCAAAAAAAAAAAAAAAAAAAAAAAAAGTCTAAAACGTACTCACTGAACTCTAGAACAGTGGTCATCATCAACCACTGGTGCCAGCCTGCAGGTGCACAAAGGCTGAAGGATGCTGAAATATTATATTGCTTCCCTGCGTACCATATTACTAAGACCTACACGCAGCAATTCTTTTAACCAAGTACAAAGCATATCCAGCCATGAAGAAAATGTTGCAAGGCATACTAACAAAATGAAAAATATGTAATTCAAAAGCACGCGGGTCACAAAATTGTAAGACCAGGAATCGAAATTAGCCATGATTATGCTACACAGTCTAGATAGCATATAAGAACAGACACACTCAACGTAAGAGAAATTGCAATTCTAAAGAACATCAACCTCAAAAAAGATAGATGTCCAAAACAGTCTAACAGCAACAGGCATACAGAACCTTTGAGTTAGGAGATTAGAAGAGTATACAGGGGTTAAGTAAGAGTCTTGCATGGGGTCAATCCCAGTTGAACCTCCAGTGCCACAGGGCTCCCCAAGCATCACCTGATGCAGCCCTCAAGGCCCCCAGCATTACAGTATGAGCCTACAGGCTCCCAAGCACTGGGTGGCCCTACATCACAGGGCCCAGGTGGCCAAAAAGGGGTCTCCAGGCCTTCTGATCACTGCTTAGGAACAGCACACCACCACCACACCACTCTCGCCAAAAAACCCCTGTGGACCTGATGTCATTTCTCCAAAAACTATATTTAAAAAAAGGAATAAAGATTAAAGAAAAAACCAAAAATATATCTAAAGGCCCTGTGACAATTACACTAGCTATGACAGGTGTATTAGGCAATTAGCAGTTGAAAAGAGAGAAGGAACAGAAGAAGTATTTCCAAGGAAATTGATTTTTAGCTGTGCAATTCTTATTTCTGGACGTTTTTACTCTAGTACATTAAGGAGAAAGGGAGCGCAAGAGCAAAGATTCTTCCCTCGACGGATTACCTTTTCTGATTCCCTTTGCTAACTGGATAAGCAACCTTCAGGTCACCACCACTGACGTGAAAAATTGGCATGTCCTAGTGCCGGGAAGGCTTAGGACGTTAGAGCTACGAAAAGACGATCCACACAGGTATCAAGCAATACAGGTATCGAGCGGCCACCATGTTCGGTCCATCATCTACTTTCAGCACGCACCTACTAGCCCAAGTCATCCCTCCAACCATCATTTACTTGGTGCCCCTTCTTCCATCCCAGCTACCTTTTCCCCCCAGTGCCTGAGGTCAGCTTTCAAGCCGTGGGGCAATCCTCCTGACCTTTATTTCTACCGTCCTTAGGTGGAACTAACAATTTTGAACCATGTAAAAAAATAGGATTTCATCCCGAAGTTACTTCCTAAAGAGATTAAGAGGCATTTTCTTATTTATGTGTTAATCAATTCAGTTTATTCAGTAATATCCAGAACCAAATTCACCATTACCAACAGGACAACTCATATCAGTTAAGTTATTCTATGTAAGATGCAGGAGCAAAGATTCTGACTATTCCTGATTTGGCTGTATCATAACTCCATTTCGACTGCTTCCATGCCAGTGCTATCTATCTTAAAGCCAGATAAACCCTAAAGTACCAACCAGGTTTTCAAGAGGCTCAATGGAAAATGGTCCAATTGCCATTGATCCATTTCTTTCCTTGGCTGGTCTATTCCTAATGATACTCTATAAATTAACCATACGTGATCACCACTAAGAGAGAACTGCAAGTATTCAGGTACAAATGTCAGTTATTTGACAAAGGAAAAGAATACTTTTGTTTTGTCTTGTATGGGGAACATACCCTGCAGTGCTCAGCGCTTACTCCTGGCTCTGAAATCAGGAATTACTCCGGGCAGGGCATGGGGGAACCATACGGGATGCTGAGTAATGAGCCCAATACAGCCATATGCAAGCAAAGGAAGTGCTCTACCCACTGTATAAGCTCTCTGGCCCTGGAGAAAGAGCGATACTCACTCTCTTTTTTAGTAATGCTTTCTTTTTCAAACGTTTTTGCAAAATTTCTTTTTCCAAGGATACAATCTGACTTGGGGTTAGCTGTTTTTGAATTCTGCTTAATTCTTCTTTGTACGCCTCCCATTCTGCCCTGTAAGCATCTTCATAGACCTACAAATAAATCCAAACAAGTCAATAAACCGTTGTTGTTGAATTAAACAGAGCATACCTGCTTACTAACAGAACGACATGAATTCAGCTAAAAACAAATCACACCACTGCATGGAAAACATGCTCCGGGCTAACATTCAGATATGTACGAACATGTATTCTGGAGCTGAAGAGCTGGCTCAATGAGTTGAATTACACATTTTGCATGCTGGAGACCCAGGTTGGATCCCTAGCACTGCACATGGTCCCAAGCACGGCTGGGAGTGACACCCCCCCCCCCCCAAGCAGGACGGTAACAACCCTGAGCACGTCCCAGGTGTGGCCCCAAAACAACAACAACAACAACATTTTGAATAAGAAAATCAAGGTGAAAGTCTAGCAATTATCTTCAAGACTTGCTGCATTACGGCCCCTAAACACCTATAAACTCACCACTTATGTGCATATAAAGTTGATTTGTAGGTAACAGGTATTACAAAGAACCTGTTATTTCAGTGGTCACAAAAGTGACCTAGTCTCTATAAGGTCATCATAATTTTAAGTGCAATGGAACTAATTAATAATGCTAAAAATCTATATGCTTACTTTTTTCTCTGAGTCAGGAAGTTCCCTCCATAGTTGGGCAATTTTTTTAATTAGTTCTGAATTTTTTGCATCTATGGGTGGGAAGAAAATGAAAAAGTCAAAATTCCAAACCTCAATTTATAATGATTTCCAGGAAACATAATCCGTGAGTTTTAAATTTAATGACTTAGCTATTTTTCGAGCCAACTAAACGAGATCTGATACTCTGACATTGAAAACTGTTGTCTAATAATCAGCAAGTGTGTCACATCCTATGAAAACAGCCTTCGAAAATGATCACTGGTCTAAGGAGCGGAATGACCCACTTCAAGGGTCTGCTTCGCAGATCGGGGCATCTTAGACCCGTTCACAAAGTCCTGCTGACCGGCAAAAGAGTGTCGACTCGCACGGTGCTAGCTCTTCATTCAGCTACAGAAATGCGGGGCAAAGGAATCGCCCTGGGACCCATCCCTCCCCCTTTCCCTCCTGGCTTCGACTGGAACGCCGGGATCCACGGACTTGTGGGTCGTCCCATACGTGGACTCAGGAACTCCTGGAGGTCAGAGCACAGACGAAGCCTATGGAGTGCGATCACTCTCGTGGGCGGCCCTGGGACGGCGGTGACGGACCTACCGCCCCCGAAGGCGCTTGGGAGACCCGACGCGGGGGCCGGCCGTTGTCTCTCTGGGGGTCGTCTTTGTGGCAGGATCCCCACGAAGCGCCAAGGGCCCTCGGGAAGCCTCTTCCCGGAGCTCAAGGGCCGAGCGGTCCTTCCCGGGGGGGTCGCGCCCGGAACCCGCGCTGCGGCGGCAGCTTCGCGCCGGGTCCCCGCGGCCAGGTCCCTCCTGGAGGTCGCGGCCCCTGCAGCCCCCGGCCCTGCTCCCGCGCGAGGCCCCGCCCCGGGGCCCCTCCGGTCTACCTGGGTGCTGGGCCTTGAACAGGGGCAGCTGCTCCTTGGAGAACCGCACGTACGAGGTCATGGGCTTCTTCGGGTACGAGGCCGCGGCCGAGAGCCACCGGGGCGCGTGCGCGGGGCTGGGCGAGGAACAGCGCGTGGCCGGAGCCGCGTGGGCATAGCCGCCGCCCCCGCCTCCGCGCCGGGACCCCTCCCCGGCCCCCGCACACGCGACGCCGCGGGGGGCAAGGTCAAGGCGCCGACCACCAGCTCCCGCCCCCGCCCCCGCCCGCCCCGCAACCCGGAGCCCGACGCGCCCCCTCCCCTCCCCCACCCCCGACCCGACGCTCCCCCGGTCCGCCTCACCTGAGGGGCGCGCGCAGGCGGCCCCCGCCGCGGTCGGCGCCGAGGCCCAGGCCCAGGCCCGCGCCCGCCCTGCCCAGCGCGCTGCCCAGCGCGCCCCACACGGCCCGCAGGAGCGCCATGAGCCGAGCGCGGGCGCCGGACACGCGGGAACGAGCGGCGCGAGGGCCCCGCCAGCGCCGCCCGCAGGCCCGCCGCAAGGCACGCTGGGAGGTGCCGCGGCTTCCGGCGCGCCGGGGGGCGGAGCGGGGCGGGGCCGGCGCGGGCTCCGCCCATGGGCGGGGGGCGAGCTGGGAGCGGGGGGGGGGGGCGCTGCGGAGGCGCCCACGCGTGCGCACTCGGGCCGGCAGCGGGGGCGGCGGGGGTGGGGGCTGCGCTCGGCGACGGCGCCCGGGGAGGCCGCGCCCTCGGCCGCTGCGTCACAGACGCCCGGTCCTGCCGCGGGGATGCCGGAGCCGGAGTCGGGCGCAGCGCCCCGGCGACCCTCGGGGCCAGGGCTCGGCCCCGGCCGGACCCCGACGCTCGGAGGAGGCTGCCTCGGCGCCTCCTTTCGGGCGGGGACTGAAGCCGGGCGCCGGGGCCGCCCCTCCCCGCCCCGCCGAGCGCGCGCGACCGGCCCGGGGTCCGGGCAGCGGCCCGTGGCCCCCACGACCGGCTTCGAAGCTGGGCCGACCCGAACCCCAGGCCTGGCCCCGGGGTCCCGGGCAGGTTGGGGAGGGTCCCAGCCCCCGCGAACTCTGCCGACGGCCCCCCAGGAAGGGACCCCCAGGCGCTGAGCCCACCGCGTCCTGGCTCGCAGGTCCTCCGCTCGGAAGGGCCCTCGGGGTCGCCTGCTCGCACCTTCCCTCTTGTCAGGACCCAGCTTTTGTTGTTGTTTTTTTGAGGACATTCCAAGTCCGGCTTCAGACGTCAAGAAGAGGCGCCAAAGACCCCGGCCGGCATCCAGTGGCGAAGCTGAAGATAGAATCGCGATGTGGTGCGAAGACAGCTGAGCAGAGGGCAGAATCCCCCCCTACTTTTCAGGCGCAGTGGTTTCCGCCTTGTATTCTAGAACTCTTGCCTTTTTCAGAGCTTTGATAGAAAGTGACTCTTCTCTTTGGAAGAATGTGATCTGGAATTTAACTCAGGGGTACATTGCATGCTTTGCACTTTACCCGTAAAACAAAAACGCCGTTTTGGTTTTTTGCTCGTTGGACCACACCTGCCAGTGCTTGGGACTTGCTCCTGGCTCTGCCTTCGGGGAATCACTCCTGGAGGGACCCGGGGACCTTACCGGGTGCCAGGGATTGAATCTGCATTGGTCTCGTACAAGGCAGGTACCCTACCCACCATGGTATCTCTCCAGTCCACTTTTATTTTAAAGTGTCATCTGATAAATATACAATTTTTTTCACGAGCCAGCATATTACTTAAAATTCATTGGCACTGCAGGGATAATTTATTCCAAAGGCAGGATTAAAAAACAAGAGTCCTAAGTTAATAAAAATTATTATGTTTAATACTAAAAGAGTAAGACACTGTTGTTGACCCAAAGCTACAAAGTACAACACACAGAGTACAAAAGTGTGACACTTCATTACATAAAAAATTTATAATCTGGATAATTATCTTTGCTGTAAATCAAGGCTTTAAAATTAATACAAGTTATTTTTCTGCATGTATAATATTTTCCTTCAAACCACTTATATTCACTTAAGATTCATTATTGCCTCACTAGTTTGACTTGAAAATCAGAATACAAAAAGGAAGGGGAAAGAAATCAGGAAGATCTATTACTTGTTAATAGCTCCCATGTATCCAAATTACTTCATGATTTATTTCTCAATTAGAAGAAAATCTGCATGCAGCCTTAATTAAGAGCATATCAGTTATTTTTAGCCATTGCTGTAGCAGCAGTACGCAAAAACAAATATAGCTTTTCTATTTCTGAGCTCATTCTATGAGTCAGCAGAAGGTAAGACAAGCAAAAAGGACAGCTGTAATTTTATGCATAGTTATAAAACCCAAATTTGCCTTGCTAGATATTCCTAAAAGCGGATAGGAGAAGCAGAATCGTTATATTGATGAAATAATGTTACTAGAAAAAAAGATGATCTAGTGTTCTGACATTGTAAAACACATGAGCAACATAAATGATTATTTTACTCAACTAGACAGCAAATATTTTGTTATCTCTAATACTTTTATAAATCATAAGAAAATTATTTGTAATGTACAGGTGTGAAAACTGATATCCAGATCATATGTACAACTATGTGCATGCATGGGAAGGATTCCCTTCCTTGTTACATCTGTTGGACATTTCTATCTCTAAGGCTGGAGAGGTCATAGAGTGGAAAGGACCCTTGCCTTGCATGTGACTGACCGTGTTTGATCCTGGGAACCCACGTTTCCCGCCCAGGCACCACCAAGAATACTTCCCGAGCCTAGAGCCAGAAGTTAGCCCTGAGCATTGCTGGGTGTGACCCAACAAAATAAAACAAAATGTCCCACCCTGAAGCCACTTTAGACTTTTAAATGATACTGAATTTTTTTTTTGCTTTTGGGTTTTTTGGGTCATACCTGACAAAATGCTCAAGGGGTTACTCCTGGCTCTGCATTCAGGAATTACTCCTGGCGGTGCTACATGGGATTCCAGGGATTGAACCCTGTGGGCTGCATGCAAGGCAAATGCCCTACCCACTGTACTATCATTCTGGCCCTGAAATCATATTTGAATTTATGTAAGTACAATATTGGGAAACAATCATGATGCTTTAGATTTTTTCAACAATTACTATTTTTTTATCCTTATGAATAATGACTTTATTAACATGTAAAAGTGTTAAATTACATCTTAATTTCTTTTATTTCCTCACTCATCCAATCATTCCAAATTATTTAGGCTCGAATTTTGTAAACTAAAAACACTCAAATTTAAATTCATTATATGTGATGTTGGGGCTGAAGAGATGATAGCACAGCGGGTAGGGCTTGCACGCGGCTGACCTGGGTTTGATTCCCAGCATCCTATTTGGTCCCCTGAGTACGGCGGGGAGTAACTCCTGAGTGCAGAGCCAGGAGTAATCCCTGTGCATCACCGGTTGTGACCCAAAAAGAAAAAAAAAGTATATGTGATGTTGACTTAATGGTTGTTACACCTGAGCAAAGCAGGAGTGAGTGGTACTTTTTGCTTTATTATCTATTCACTTTTTTCTTTATATATATTTCTATCGTATTGTTCTATATTGCCCAAAAAAACAACTGTAATGTTATCCTTTGTAATAAATTTTAATGAGTTCCTAGTAGAGAGGCCCTCCCATTCATCAATTTGCTCAAGCGGGATCAGTAACGTCTTCATTGGAGACTTTGTTGTTACTGTGTTTGGCATATCGAATACGTCATGGGGAGCTTGCCAGGCTCTGCCATGCGGGCAAGATACTCGCGGTAGCTTGCCGGGCTCTCCGAGAGGGGCGGAGGAATCGAACTCGGGTTGGCCATGTTGGCTGCGTGCAAGGCAAACGCCCTACGGCTGTGCTATTGAAGGCAGTACATTACTAGATGCTGCAGAGTCTAAAAATATCGGGATGACTAAGGCATGATCCATCTGTTTAAATTTGCCAAGGATAGTAGGGCAAAGCTCATCGAGCAGGTGACATTTGAACTGTGTTTTCAAGTGGGGAAGAGTGGAGGTGCTTTCAGAAAAAGAAAACAACATGTGCAAATTTCATAGATACGTAAGGTCATGCTTATTCTCCCATTTTCTTGGTGCCACACACGGAGGTGTTCAGTTCTTACAGGGGTCACTCCTGGCATGCCCAAGGGGGTGTGATGTTGGGGATCCATTTTGGGTTGGCTGAGTGCAAGGCAAAATGCTCTACACACTGTACTCTCACTGTGACCCCATGATTGTACTTCAAAACACAAAATAGATGTGAAACAGTGTTGCATGAGACAGATACTAAAAATTTTATGCAAAATAAAAAATATTGATAAAAGTAAAAAGTTTAGGGGTGGAATGAGTCCCGAGTCCAGAGTCAGGAGCAACCTCTGAGCATCATGGGGTCTGGCCCCAAAACAAAAAACAGACCAAAAAATTTTTAACTTCCATAGAAAATTATTTTCTTGGAGCCAGCGAGATAGTACAGTGGGTATGGCCCTCACACTGCATGTGGCTGACCCAAATTCAATCCCTATATGGTTCCGTGAGCCCACCAGGAATAAGCCCTAAGCATACCTGGCCCCAAAACCAACCAAACAACAAAAATACTCTGAATATCTGAAAACTATAGTTTCGTGAAGTGTTGAGAGGACAAAGTTCTACCGTAGTAAAAGGTCCCCCAAAAGATTCAAGTGAGGACTAGACACCGATTTATGTAGAGTCCTGCTTCTCTTCACCCGGCCACTGACCAGAGCACAAATCTTGGGTTTATTTTTGGGGTGGGGTGGGGCCACACCCAGCAGTGCACAGTGTTGCTCCTGACTCCTGACTCCATTCAGGGATCACACCTGGTTGGCTTGGGGGACCATAACTGGTGCCAGGAATCAAACCTGAGTCTGCCACTTGCAAGGCAAACCTCTTACCTGTTGTACTATGGCTCTGATCCCTGCAGCAATTTCTTAAGGTGGTGAAAGTCAAAGAACTCAAGCTTGATCTCTTAAAGAGACCAACTGCTTATGACAAAAAAATTCAGCAGTGTTTCAGAGATCAAAAGTGATAGTGACTTCAAACATACGGTTTGTTCCCTCTCAGGTGTTTGTCGCATTTTGCAGCTCTAAGAAGCAAGAGGATAAAACTGTGCAATACAGAAAAGCAGCATAGGATGTCTTGGAGTTTCTCTGTACTGAAGAAACAGTGACAGTCTAGAGGCAGTGCATGATGAAGAAGGGTGAACTACACACAGATTCAATGATTAACCTGCAAACCAGCCTCAACTCAGTGCAGCTTCTGGTTGCTTTAAGGTCATGTGCTTTTTTGACCAACACAGGGGGAGGTAAGCTCTCTCTGGTTGAAAACAGCTTCTAGACTAATTTCGAACTTTTTTATACATAATATTTAGCTTTTGATAAAAGCACACCCAGAGATGATTCAGTTACTGAAGTTAGCGGACACTGTCATTGTCACTGTTCATCGATTTGCTCAAGCGGGCCCAGTAACGTCTCCATTGGAGACTTTGTTGTTACTGTGTTTGGCATATCGAATA